CCCACCCCTCAGCCCCCCAACACCTCACCCCAGGCCCCCAACCCCTCACCCCGTCCCCCCAACCCTCACCCAGCCCCCCACCCCTCAGCACTCCAACCCCCCACCCCTCAGCCCTCCAACCCCTCACCCCTCAGCCCTCCAACCCCTCACCCCTCAGCCCTCCAACCCCTCAGCCCTCCAACCCCTCACCCCTCAGCCCTCCAACCCCTCACCCCTCAGCCCTCCAACCCCTCACCCCTCAGCCCTCCAACTCCTCACCCCTCAGCCCTCCAACCCCTCACCCCTCCAGCCCCCACCCCACCCCTCAGCCCCCACCCCACCCCCAGCACTCCAACCCCTCACCCCAGCCCCCCAACCCCACCCCTCAGCCCCCAACCGCCACCCCACACCTCAGCCCCCCAAACACCCACCCCACCCCTCAGCCCCCCAACCCCTCACCCCAGCCCCCCTCATTCTATGGCCTGACTCCAGCCAGTTCCAAACAAATGGAGTCCTTATGGATCGGGTTTTCCTGACTGGATAATAACAATAATAATGCTTGCATTTGACATTATCACACTATCCAGCGCTTTGGGATGTCCTGACGTGAAACGCGCTATACAAATGTAATCTTGTTGTTGTTATTACGACGTTGAGATGTCTCAAAGAGCTTCACAAAATACACTGTAAAGTGGATTGACTGTGTATTTTGTGAGCGAATCGCAGCAGCAGTGTCCCACAAACAGCCATGGAATAAGTGAACAATTTTTGTTTGAGGGGATTGTTGGCCAGGACACCAGGAAAAACTCCCTCCTCTTTTTCAATAGTGCCATAGGATCCTTTATGTCCACCTGATCAGGCAGACTGGATCTCGGATTAACATCTCATTTGCACACTCTGATGCCTCCAAACCTTGGCTCTTGCCAAACCTCACCTCAACACTCTGCGATTAAAGCATGCATGACTCTTCCTTCCCCTCAATCCATTTCAACTCTTCCCATCTGCTATCTCAACCTCTGCCACTGTATTAACCTATGCCACCCTCCATCTCATTCCCACACTCTCCTGCCCGCTGAACCCACCTGCCCTGGTAACCTACTGTGTACAACTTTCATACTTTAAGTCTCTCCTTACTCTCATTTCCTTAGGTTTTCACACGTTTCCCTGGTGCTTGTTGGCAATGGTGATAAATTTGCCTTTTTGGACTGGGCTGATGTGCCAGGTCTGCGTTGATGTGCTAGGACTCCCCTCTTGTTAAGAACATAAGAATTAGGAGCAGGAGTAGGCCATTCAGCCCCTCGAGCCTGCCCCGCCATTCGATAAGATCATGGCTGATCTTCTGACCTAACTCTAATTACCTGCCCTATCCCCATATCCCCTAATCTTTTAAAAATCTATCAGTCTCAGCCTTGAAGATGTTCAAGGACTGAGCATCTACAGCCTTCTGGGGTAGTGACTTCCATAAATTCACTATCCTCTGAGTGAAGGAACGTTTCCTCAACTCTGTTCTAAAAGGCTGACCCTTAATTTTAAGACTGTGACCCCTGGTTATAGATTCTCCTACCAGGGGAAACAGACCCTCAGTGTCTACTTTATCAGCCCTTTAAGAATCTTATATGTTTCAATAAGATCTTCCCTAATTCTTCTGTACTCTAGAGAATACAGCCCTAGTTTATTCAGCCTATCCTCATAGGTCAGTCCCCTCATCCCAGGAACTAACCGAGTGAATCTACGCTGCACCCCTCTAGGGCAAGTATGTCCTTTTTTAAATAAGGAGACCAAAACTGCACACAATACTCTAGGTGCGGTCTCACCAAGGCCCTATACAGTTGCAGCAAGACTTCTCTACTCTTGTACTCTAAACCTTTTGCAATGAACGCTAACACGCCGTTCGCCTTCTTAGTTGCTTCCTGCACCTGCAAACTAACTTTTTGAGACTGGTGTACACCCAAATCCCTCTGCACACTAACACTATCTAATCTCTCCCCATCTAGAAAATAATCTGTTTTTCTATTTTTGCTACCTGGGTGAATAACTTTCTCACATTAAATTCCGTCTGCCACCTACTCGCCCACTCCCCTAGCCTTTCTATATCCCGTTGCAATCTTTTTGCATCATCCTCAGAGCTTACTCTCCCACCTAGTTTAGTGTCATCCGCGAATTTAGATACGTTACATTCAATGTCCTCGTCTAGATCATTGATGTAAATTGTAAATAGCTGAGGCCCAAGCACTGATCCTTGTGGCACTCCACTCGTCACATCCTGCCAATTCGAGAATGACCCGTTCATCCCTACTCTCCGTTTTCTACCCGTTAGCCAGTCTTCAATCCATGCTAATATGTTCCCGTGGGCCTTAACCTTGTGAAATAGCCTTTTGTGTGGCACTTTGTCAAATGCCTTTTTAAAATCTAAATATACTACATCTACTGGTTCCCCCCCTATCTAACCTGCTAGATATATCTTCAAAAAACTCTAAAAGATTAGTTAAGCATGACTTCCCTTTTGTAAAGCCATGTTGACTCTGCCTAATCTTGTTATGGTCTTCCAGGAATCCCATAACGACATCCTTAATTAAGGACACAAGAATTTTCCCTACCACTGAAGTCAGACTAACTGGTCTATAGTTCCCCATCTTTTCTCTCCCACCCTTCTTAAATAGTGGTGTCACGTTTGCAATCTTTCAATCAACGGGAACCGTTCTAAAATCCAGAGAATTTTGGAAGATCAAAGACAAGCCATCCACTATCTCAGTAGCCACCTCTTTTAAAACCCTAGGATGTAGGCCATCAGGTCCAGGGGATTTATCAGTTTTAAGACCTGATAATTTACCTAAAACCATTTCTTTACTAATATTAATTCTTCCAAGTTGCTCGCTAACATTGTCTTCTTGGTTCCCCTCTGTTCAGTGTCTGCTAAGATGAAGACAGTAATAATAATAATCCTTGCATTTGATATAGCGCTTTTCACGTCAGGAGGACGTCCCAAAGCGCTTCACAGAACACACTGTAAAGTGAATTGACTGTATATTTGTGGGCGAACGCGGCAGCCAATTGCGCATAGCAATGTCCCACAAACAGTCGTAGATTGAAAATGACCAATTTAATTATTGTTTTTGGTTTTTTGGAGGGATTATTATTAGGCTCTGTGTGGAGTAAGGAAACTTGCCCAAGGTTTCACCCTCTGTCTGGAATTGAACTCAGGTCTCTCACTTGCAAAGCGAGTGCTCTAACCACTGAGCTACAGGACTCCAAAGTACTTGGAGTAGCAAAGTACTTGTTTAATGACTCTGCCGTGTCTTTGTCCCCTACTGTAATTCCCCCCGTCTCTGCCTGTAACGGACCCACATTTACCTTCGACAGCCTCTTCCTCTTTATATATTTATAAAAACTCTTGCAGTCTGTCTTTATGTTCTTCGCTAGTTTGCCCTCATATTCCATTTTCTCCCTCCTAATCACTTTTTTGGTTCTCCTTTGTTGATCCCTAAAGTTCTCCCAATCCTCGGGTTTACTACTCATCTTAGCTGTTTTATAGGCTTCTTCCTTTAACTTTATACTTTCCCTAACTGCTCTAGTTAGCTACAGTGAGGCCACCTTTCACGTGGCATTCTTATTCCTCAAAGGAATACGTGCTCGCTGGGAATTTTGCACTATCTCCTTAAACGTCTGCCATTGCTGGTCTACTGTCAAATCCTTAAGTCTAATTTCCCAGTTTATTTTGGCTAAATCCTCTCTCATACCAGCAAAATTAGCTCTACTTAAATTTAAGACCTTTGCTTCGGACTTAACTATTTCTCTCTCTAACTTAATGCTAAATTCCATTGTATTATGATCACTTTGCCCTAGAGGAGCCTTCATTTCCAGTTTGCTGATCAGCCCTGCTTCATTGCACAAAACAAGGTCTAATATGGCCTGTTCCCTGGTCAGCTCCTCAGCATACTGATCTAGATAATTATCCCTAATACATTCTATAAACTCTTCCTCTATCATACTTTTCCCAATTTGGTTGTCCCAATCTATGTGCAAATTAAAATCACCCACAATTAATGTTTTTCCTTTACTACATGCTCCGCTAATTTCCTGATTTATACCTTGAGAGATACTGTGATTGCTGTTCATGGGTCTATAAACTACTCCCACTAGAGTTTTCTGCCCCTTGTTGTTACGTACCTCTACCCATACTGACTCTACATTTGTCCCGGCCCTGTTTAGGTGGAGTCCATTCCTTTGGAATAGCTCCCGTCTCCCCCAATACTGGTGCCAGTGGCCTATAAACTGAAAAACCCCTGCCCTCCGCACCATTCTTTTAGCCAGGTATTCAGCTCTTTAATTTTCTTTTGCCTGTACCAATTTGCCCCTGGCTCAGGTAATAATCCTGATTGTTCAGTAGCTGCTTCTTGTTGTGCGGTATTTGGAGTGCCGTAGTATAGTGGTTAGCCCACTCGGCTCACACTCCACATGCTTCTATTTACTTCATTGTAAGTATGAACCCGGTTGTTAGTCAATATGGTGGGGGTAATAATCCCCTCAAAAAAAAATTGGGTTACTCACTCCACGACTGTTTGTGGGACATTGCTGTTTGAATTGGCTGCCGCATTTCGGCCACAAAATACACAAGTCACTCCATTTTACAGTATATTCTGTGAAGAGCTTTGAGACGTCTCAACGACATAATAAAAAATTGCAGGGAGGCTGGGGATAGGAGTGACAGAAGGCGCAGTCGAAAATGAGGGTTTTGAGATGGGCCTTGAAGGAGGCAAGGGAGATAAGGATTGTTATATATTATCTGTTGCCTCACCCCAGTGGCTATTTTTGATGTCTTAGCCTGGACAGTAACTTTCACCAGGCTATGCGATCATCTCCTCATCCAACACTTACACACACACACACTTTCTATCAGGAGTCACGTCACTGCAATCTGGAGCAGGAGCACAGCTAGGAAGAGAGTGCCTTGATCACCACATCATGATGTAGGTGTAGCATTTGGCTGAGGCTAACCCGCTGGGCCCCAGGCCAAGACTTACACTGGGATAGTGCTCCATCACTAGGAGGTACTCGGTCCTGCCATCAGCCGACATCCTTTCCTCTCCCACGATAAAGCGAGCGATGTTCTCGTGTTCCATCAGCGGAAGTCTGTATATATCTCTCTCGTTCATGTAGTTCTGCCGGTTTGAGGCACTGAAGATTTTCACCGCCACCGGTCGTTCATCCAGTGACCCCTTGTAGACTGATCCATACCGGCCCCGACCAATCACCTGCAAGAGGAAATGAAGCACTCCTTACACAGAAATCCTCCTCTCCTGTAGGGATCAATTTGTGCTGGGGACCATCCGATGTGCACTGGCTATACACTGCCTTGGGAACTTCAAAGTCCACCTGAACACATGCTCCGAAGCAGGAGTCTTGGTTCAATATTTCATCTGGTGCAGTTTAATGGAGTCCTATAGAAAAGTAGTTAGCGAGAGAACCCAGAGTCGATTCCCAGGCGGGAATTTACCGGGGCGAAACCTTAGGTAAGTTTCCTTATGCCACACGCCTCTGTTTACCTAGCAGTAAGTGGGAACCCAGTTTTTTGTCGATTGGCAGTTCTCTTTCAGGGGGTAGTAATCCTTCCATTAAAGAAAAATTGGTTCACTCAATCCATGACTGTTTGTGGAACATTATTTTGCGCAATTGGCTACTGCGTTTCAGCCACAAAATACCGTCACTACACTTGCAATGATTATTATTATTATTATGATCTGAAGTGAAGCACTGGAGCATCAGCCCCAAACTGTGAGCTCAAAATCTCGATGTGGGGCTTGAACCCACAACCTTCCGGCTCGAAGGCAAGAGTGCAACTGACTGAGCCAGGCTGACACCCTTATTGGAACACCTTATGCTCAGAATACCTCACCGTCTCTTAGCCTTAAAGCCATTGTTCTAAAATTCAAGATCATGCAGAATTTTGTAAAAATCTTAAACTCAGCCTGACTTTGGCATATTGGAAGCGGGTTTATCACAATTCTTAAATTACGGAATCCTGTAGCATATTGGTTAGAGCATTCGCCTCACAAGCGAGAAGACCCAGGTTCAATTCACAGGCAGGCAAAACCTTAGGCAACTTTCCTCTGTTTACCTACCAGATGGTAGGAACCCGGCTGTTAGTCGATTGGTGGCTCACTTTCTGAGGGAAATAATCCAATCAATCAATCGAATAAGTTGGTCACTCAATGTTTGCGCACAGCAGTGCCCCTCAATGTTTGTGGAGCATTGGTGTGTGCAATTGGCTGCCGCGTTTCACCCACAAAATACATAATCAATTCATTTTACAGTATTTTCTGCGAAGTGCTTTGAGACGTCTCAACAATGTGATAAGGCGTTATATCAAATGCAAGGATTATTACTATTATTATTATTGTTGAGGCTTGAAGATTTTTCCAAAATCCTTCATGATATAAAATTTCAGGCCAATGCTATTAAGGCTAACGTTATGAGAATACTGGGAATACAATTCTGGAAATGGGGAGTGAAAATATTCAAATGAAATCCAAAGGGAAGAATTTTAACCAATTCAATGCAGTGCTGGACAGACGGGCTGCAGGACATCTGACAGAATGACGGCAGGCACTGACCATACTGAGGAAATGTGGCCGCGCAAACAAGAGTCAGAAAGGAAGTGTGCGTACCTCAAGCAACTTGAGGCTGTCCAGGTCCAAGGAAGGTTCGGAGTGAGCAGCCTCCATCATGTTCATGTTGTGCAGCCCGTGCTTCCTATCTCCTGAGTGAAGAGACAACACCATATAAAGAGCTCAAGCAGATCAAAATACAACGCACACAATGGGGACGTCATTTCCTGGAGGATGAGGCCTTACACTGCAAAACTCGCATAAGTCCTATCAGTCAGGGCTACAACATTTAATATGACTTGTGCAAAGTCTGAGTTGCAGGCAAATTTGTATAAATCGTATAAAATCTAATTTAATCAATAATCTTCAATGGGCTTGCATATTTCAATGGCCACTGTAAGTGCGCAAATGGTGAGGCTCAAGACTACAGGTCCCACATTTCAATACGCCTTGACCCGTCGCCGCGTGCATACTTACTGTCAAGTGTTGCAATCGCATTGAATCGCAGGAACTGAAGTTCTTTTGCGCCTGTGACGACGGATCAAGACTGTGTTTCCCACAATTCAGTGCAGCCGGACAATAAGTGTGCACAAGTGGAAGGGTCAGGACCTCATTTCCCATTATTCATATCTGCCGGTACGTGCGGGAGCAATGGATGGTAAGGGAGCGGAGTTACGAGTTACGAGTTAGGTGATTAATACGACTAGTGCAAAGAAATCCAAGTGGTTTTGATAGGAAACTGAATGGGACTCTGGTGGATGTACGATTTAAGCGATTATACGATTTATAAAGATGAGACTTACACGTTTTTTACTGTATACTCCACAATGGGACAGGGATTCTTCCCAGTCGGCTCCACTTAACCATACAAGGTCAACGCCCTAACAGGTAGAGTGGTCCTACCTGTATAAACACTTCCTGCACAGTACCCTCAATGGCAAACCACTATGTTACCATCAGGTAGTTAAACTCCAGCAGTTACTCCCAACGCACACTCTGGGCTCCCCCAAGCCAAGGCTCTTGACAACCTGCGCTTTATACTCTCCGGAATTAGGTAAGCAGTATGCATCCCTCCAGGGAAAGAGTTCGCATTCCATTCCAGACCCAGGGAGGTTTCCATGCGTGGGTGGCATACGTAATGTGGACCTCAGTCAGGTTTGGATACTTTTGTGCATGGAGATGGGTTTCCGCATGTGTCAGACATCCACGGACCACTTAGCAAAAACAAAATTGTCTCTCTCACAGGTAGAGCTTAGCAATGAGACATTTGTGGCGAGGTATTGTCAGACACAGAGGCGTCAGCAGCCAAATCAAATAATCTGCCATCTGTTCTTCAGTAATTCTGCTTTATCACCAATTCAAAACCAAAATCTGACTGACTGGGAGTGGGAACACAGGGAAATAATTAATGTGGAATGTTAGAAAGGCTAATGCTATCCTGTTCTAATTATTTTATGGTACCCTGCCAAAGTCGCTTGTTTCCTCTGAAATAAAAGAGAATTTGGGGACTTGGGAGTTTCTTCAAATGATTCAGTGTCCTCTGAGCCAGCCATTTCTAGGGCACTACAACAACAACTCAATTTTTAACGTGCCCTTCAGGTGGAGTAGCATCTTGCAGCGCTTAATAATGGTGGAACTTGATTCTGGGGGAGGTGATGGTCGAAGGGGAAGGTCTTTTCGTGCGATCTGCAGATGGACAAGGAGGGGAGGGGTTGAGGCAGAGTTCCAGAGTTTCAGGGGAAAATGACTGAAAGCATGGCTGCTGATGGTGGAATAAGGGATATACAGGAGGCCTGAGCCTGACAGGCGAAAGGGGCAGGTATGAGCAGATCAAAAAGGTATGGATGTGTTAGGACATGATAAAATTTAACATTGAGAGTGAGGATCTTGAAATCGATCCGTTCTACAAAAGGGAGCCAGTGTAGCCTGGCAAGAACTGGGGTGATGGGGATCTTGTTTGTTGGGGGACAGAGTTGAATTAATTAATTGGATTTTAAAGGAGGAAAGTGGCCCTGGTCAGGGATTGAATGTGAGGAGCTATGGTTTGAAGGTCCATTCGATAAATCACTGGAGGTTTGGAGCTCTGCTATGATGGTCACTGTGATCAGGTAGAGAGCCAGAGTGAGCTGGGAACAGAGTGAGGCTTCTACAACAGGAATTTGGTGAGTGTGGGAATTCCTTGTTTACTAAGCGAAATTTAAAATTGAAACTTAACAATGACAAGGCAGTTGGCAGGTGTTAGTTGTTAGCTGACCAGTTGAAACTGGTTCTATCTGAGGGGTATATAAAAGGGAGACTTGTGAGAGTCTTACTTGAGCAGAGAGCCCAATGGAGCAAGTTGGGAATGGAGTAAGGTCTGTACAACAGGAATTTGGTGAGTGTGAATTTGGTACAGAGGGGGAAAGAGGTGCAGTATAGATGCTTTTCATGTTGGGAGGACATCCCAAAGTGCTTCACATCTTCTCTCTGAAAGCTCCCTCCTTCTTTCCCATTCCTTTCTTATCTCTCCTCTCTTTCCCAAACCCTTATTTATCAGGCTGGAGCTCTGTCTAACTTAATAAATAAGACAATGAGTGCTGTACCCTCTCTCCATGCCAACCCTGTCTCCTCTAGCTCCTTCCATGCTCCACTGATCCAAGCCATCCTCCCCTCAAAATGCCCCCATTTCTACTCCCTACCCTCCGCTACTTGACCTCTGTCCTTCTCTCCTCACCATCCTCCTCGCTTTCTCTCTCTCTCCTGGACTCTTCCACTGCCTCCCTCTGCTCCAGCCTGGGCATCCTCCGCCGTGCTCATCACAGCATGCATTGATGGTTGTCTCAGAGCAGCCCGTCACCCACTCCTCCGCAAGACCATTCCCCACCTCCAGAAGGAAAACCCTTTTTGCCTCATCCACACCCTTCCCATCTTTCCTTCCCCCTTAAACCCCATGGTCATTTTTCCCCCCCCACAATCTGCAACCCCCCCCTTAACCCCTCCACCCTCAGTCCTCTCCACCCTCTCCTATCGGCGCCCTTAACCGCATCGGCCTACAACAGCCTGATGCAGCCATCAAGCTGCTAAACAATCGCTTCTCCTCCATCTTTAATTCCCTTGTCCCTGTGAAATCTAGGACCATCCCCAAACCTACCCACACCCCTGGTACAATAGTCATCTCCGCTCCCTCAAATCCCAAACCCGGTTGCTTGAGCCCAGATAGCATAAAACCAGCCTCACAGTTCACTGACAACTGTGGCTCGAGCATCTTCACACCTACTGCCACTCCCCCTCGCAAGCTAAAACTGTATTCTACTAGCAGGTCATTCTGAAGGACAAAAACTCCAAAATCCTATTCACCACCACCTCCTCCTCACTCCCCCATCAAGCACCCTCAATCCTAACATTGAATGTCAAGTGCGAAGAGGTGTTAGATTTCTTTAACTCTAAGATTGATAACATACACCAGGCCACCTCCTATTCCTGCCCCATGTTCCCCATCCCCCATCACCACCCATTCCTTCTCCATCACTCACTCCTCCTTCTATGGCTCCTACCCATCTCTCTTTCCTCCTTCTCATCTTCCATCACCCAAATGAAACCCACCAACTGCTGCCTGAACTCCTCCCCACCCACTGGTGGTAGACAGGAATCCCTCTCCTCAGGCTCAATCCCACTCCCATTCAAAACAGCTGTCATTACTCCCCGCCTTAAAAAGCCACTCTCGATGCTTTCAACCTCACGCACTTCAGTCCCATTTCAAATCTGCCCTTGCTGGCCAAAACCTTAAAAAGCATTGTTGCAAACCAGCTTCGCTCGCACCTCACCCTCCACTCCCTACTCAAACCCTTCCAGTCTGGTTTCCGCCCAGCCCACAGCGCTCCTCTCTCTCTCTGACCAGGGCTCCCTCTGCCTCTTCGTTCTCCTGAATCTCTCTGCTGCCTTCAACAGTCAACCATGCCATCCTCCTCCACTGCCTCTCTTCCCTCATCCACCTTAGTGGGACCTCATTCGCATGGTTTTCGAGTCCTACTTAACCAACTGCCAGCACTTTGCATCTCGGCTAATGGTTTTTCCTCTCCCTCCACCCCCAGTCAACTGTGGTGTACCCTAACGCTCTATCTTTGGCCCCCTTCTTTTCCTCATCGACATGCAGGTGACACCCAAATCTACTTCTCCCCCTCCAGCTGTGACTCCCAGTCTGCTGATGCCCTGTTAGCTTGTTTGATGGACATCAAGGCCTGGATCAGCACAAATTTCCTGCAGCTGAATGTCGGCAAGACGAAAGCCATACTCTTTGCCTCCCAGCAACATCTGCTCTCCTGCAGGTCTGAACTCCATCTACTTGTTTCAATGGAGCTGAACACCAGTTAAGGGAGAATGAGTTAAATGGTAACACTGACTAGAAACTATTCTCTAAGACTTGCATCCAGTGGTTTGTGGAAAGCTTTTAAGTCAATCTAGTTAGGAATGGACGAAGGTCGCTCTCAGTGGTGGTTAATAAAGCCCAGGGATTGACAACACAAGGATTAAAGCCTTCCGCCATCTGGTGGGATGGATATCTGCCCAAATAGTCCATAATATGTGCTGAATATTTCTAAAGATCAATAACTCACTCATGAATATATAGGTCAGAGATATTCTAATTTGGGTGTAGGAAGGGCTTAGATGGAAAATGTGGAGTCCTGTAGCTCAGTGGTTAGAGCACTCGCTTTGCAAGCGAGAGACCTGAGTTCAATTCCAGGCAGAGGGCGAAACCTTGGGCAAGTTTCCTTACTCCACACAGAGCCTAATAATAATCCCTCCAAAACCAAAAACAATAATAAATTGGTCATTTTCAATCTACGACTGTTTGTGGGACATTGCTGTGCGCAATTGGCTGCCGCGTTCGCCCACAAATATACAGTCAATTCACTTTACAGTGTGTTCTATGAAGCGCTTTGGGACGTCCTTGCGACGTGAAAAGCGCTATATCAAATGCAAGGATTATTATTATTATAAATGGTGCCAATGGTCTCACGCATTTCATGCTGATTTATGCTGCCCACAAGCAAACTCGAAGGGAGTTCCTGGAACTGGTATCTACCGAGGGAGGGTTCAAACCTGTGCTTGTCAGATATCAAATGACCAATTAGTGACTATCCTGATTATGAGAGGGAGGTAATTGTAGTCTCCT